CCCCAAAACCCCAAAACCCCAAAACCCCAGAGTAGTGGATAGTTATTGAAAAATAAAATAGGAGTGTTAAATATTATTAATAAATGTATTCATCAGCAGATCTTGAAAACCACAACAAAAAGTGAGTGTTAGAGAGCTGAAATGGCTCTAGTCATCCTTTTATTTGTAAAATTTCTTGACTTGAGTTAAAAAGACTCAAGATGTTTGAAAATTAAACACCAAATATTGAAAATATTCTCAAATTTTACACTCCCTTCACACATCCAAGTGAATGTATTCGGATAGTCCAGATCTAAGAGCTTAGTCAGCCTAAACGGGACTTGCCACATCCCAATCATTTCTCCCAACAGAGATCCCAGTATTTTAATATTTGAAACCACAACTTTGAGCTCTAAAAGCTAACCTAATTCCTACGAAGTGACTATCATTCCGGTATGAGTGGAGATGGATCTTAAAACATAAGGACTAGATTATTAAATAGGCATTTAGTAGCAATCCTTTTATATCGAATGAAAAGCTTGAAATAGTCTAGAGAATTAGTCCTCAATTCCAAATTCAATCAAGATTAGCATGTTTAAATTCTAATTTAGATTTTTAGTACTAATCCAACCACAAGGACGTTTCTTGAAATAACTCTGTAGTTTTTGAATTCTTTCATCTCAATATCTGAAATCTTACTGCTTAGTTTATGTTAGTCAGGTCGCTATGCCAAACCACGAAGATTTCTTTTACACGCCCAATTTATATTTATTCGTTATTTTAAGGAACCTTAATGCTTAGATTTGCTCTTTGTAGAAATATTTAATTTTATATAGACAAGCACCATCAGAAAGTCAGTCCCAAGAATGCTTTAACAATGCAACTTTTGAGAATTTATTCGATGAAGACGAATATGACTCTCCACATCCTGATCCTTCTTCAATGATGTTACTTAGCCAGAAATTGGAATCATTTAGCTCGAAGATTCTGTACAATTCATATTCCAAAATAAATATGGCATATAGAATTAAAGAGGTGTTCCCACGAAGCCAGCTTGACATTGAGATGGGATCTCTGATATGTCAAGGTTTTCTGAAGAAAATGGAAGGAGTCGCTTTTCCTCCATTAAAAGAAGTTTCAATTTACAGCATTCCTACACACAACAGAGCTGTGAAATATTTCCTGGAGAACTCGATCTCTACAAGCAGGGTTACCTGGCTATCTCTCGAGTGCGCTAGAATGACGGATATAGGCTTCTATCTGAACGCCATTATTAAAGCTTGTCACAGAGTCAAGAAATCCATAACGCTAAATAATTTTCAAATTAGTGAGAGCCAACTCGAGAAACTATTCATGGCTAACAAGCACAAAGAGGGAGTGCTGTTTCATTCATGCAAGTTTACCTTCCCAAAAGTGCCTGACTTCAGAAGATGCCTAGAAGGGTCCAGTATCTCAACAATAAGCATCGAGAATTGTGATAACTCTGACAGCAGTAACTGGCGTAACCACCCAGAAGAGTTTGAAAATTTTATTCAAGGATTGGCCAATTCAGACTTGAAGGAATCCCTTCAGACCGTTGACTTCGGCTGGTGATACGGATTTCAAGAGTATCATATATCTACAATATTCAGTAGATATGGCTTCGAGGATGTCCAAATAGATGGAACTTTTATGAATGATTAAAAAGTTTGGATATTTCAGTTATCATTTTATTCTCTAGAATATTTATGTAGTTTACAATAGACTCTTCAAATTTTGTCCTCAGGTAATTGCTGTAATCGAAGCCAAGTCTATTAATAAACTCTTAGATTGCTATAGATTAAGCCACTTTTTCGAAGTTCCCACAACTCTATGCCATTGAAATTGTACCAAATTTAACTCCCGATGCTGAACTAGTAGAAAGCTTAAATGGAGTCAAAAAAGTAAGAAGAGATAATTATGCCTTATTCTAGGCTCCTAGGTTTATACTAGCTTTTAAGCCCAATTGAATATTAACTTCGAAAAATTTTTGTGAATATTTAGAAATGAGTGTTCATGTCTCATGGAATTATGGCCAACTATTATGCTACAGATTCCAAGACAAATCTTTTGTATGCTAGTTGAAGAATTAATTATACATTATTTTGGCCAACAGAAAGAATGTCAGCATTAAATCCTAAAGCGGAGCAATTGGGATAGAATCACAAGACATATTGATAAACTTTTAAACATTCATATTAAATTTCCTTCATTAGAACTGGACTAGCACTGCAAAGTCAGCATCAATATGAGCTACTCTTTTCAACTGCCCCTATAATACTGGGGTTTTGGGGTTTTGGGGTTTTGGGG